CCCCATCACTGACCCTACCCACCCATTTAATCCCCCTCCCACAGCCCTGTGTACACTCTTCCCCCTATCATTGGCTTTGCTCAATCACGTAATCCCATCCAGAACCCATGTACCCTCTGCCTATTGTGGATGCTATGGCATGCATCTAAGATAATCCCCTCTCCTGGCCCACATGGCAGAGGGGTATCATGTTAATAATTCTCAGTCCATGTCCATCCCATTGATTTCAGACTGGTTTCTGAGCCCATCATTTGGATTTGCACAGGGGAAGAGTTGAGTGCAGAGCACTGTTTGGACATAAAGAGGAACTAGAATGCAGAGTTGAAAGAGGGAATTATGATTGTTATATGAATTAAATAGAGAGGGAGATAAGGTCACTATTAAAATGATAATGTGCTCAGTCTAATGTGAAACAGTGATGAAATGATACTGCAACTCTGCCTTGACATGAATTTAAATGATTTCTCGTCTTCAATCTTTTCTTCTTTTCAGGGTGCAACTGGTTTTCCTGGTGCTGCTGGGAGGGTTGGTCCACCTGGTCCTAATGTAAGTAACGCTTCAGGTTTGATTGTGTCCTCTTTTTGTTTTGCAACTCTAGATAAAAATTATCCTTGGGAAGCAACCAAAAGATGTGGTACTTTCTGAAAATAGTGTACTACAATGAGCAGCAATGCTTTGGGATAAGAAGTGGGGGAAACCAGCTAGGGTTCCTCTTTCTATGTAATGTTCCCAGCTGGAAAATGAAGGATCAGGCTTGGCTCTGACACTTTCTAAGGTTGAAACACCTTGACTTACCGTCTGTGCTCAGACAGAAACAACAGGCATCTCCATGTGTGTGCGCAAGAGGCGATCAACATTATTACAATCCAGTAAAGCATCTTATGAATTTGAGGCAGAAACTAATCTGATTGGCCATTTACCCTCTCCAGAGCTCCAAGTAACAATTCTAACACATAGAATAACTGACGATTTCGGGCAAAATGGCAGGAACCAATGCACAGCCCTGGTGAATAATGGAAAGTGGTAGATCCTTGAGGACCGGGTCTTGCATGTGCAGTGCAGCATTCAGGTAGTAATGCAGACATCCTTTTGCAGACCAATGAATGCAAAGAGGCCAATGTTCAGGTTGAACTGTTGTGCTGTGAGCATTCTGACAGATAATCGGCAAGAATTGGGAAATGGAGTGTTGGAATATGGAGAGATCCCATTGTGGTTACAATTTAAAATCCAGAAAATGAATGAACATTCAGTGCTCCAGATGACCATTTTAAAATAGTGTTCTATAGAGCAATTTAGGGAATTTTAACTGTCAGCCAGTCTGAAGAGGTACTTTATATCATTTTAGACTTCATTAAAGTCCCAGTTGCTTATATCCTTCCCACTAATATGTTTCTTCAGTTCTGTTTGGTAATGGCTACTTCTGTTGCCACAGGGTAACCCAGGTCCAGTGGGTCCTCCTGGTGCTCCTGGTAAAGACGGTCCTAAAGGGCTACGTGGTGATCCTGGTCATGCTGGACGCGCTGGTGACCCTGGTCTTCAAGGGCCAGCTGGTGCTGCTGGGGAGAAAGGTGAACCTGGTGAAGATGGTCCTCCTGTAAGTATAGAATAAGTTCAACATAAACAAGCAGTTTTTCCCTTTTTTAAAGAATTCATTCAGGGGATGTGGCCATCACTGGCTGGACCAGTATTTCTTGCCCATCCCTTTTTGTCCCTTGAGAAGGTGATAGTGAGCTGCCTTCTCAAACCGCTTCAGTCCACATGTGGTGTTATTGTTTAA